ATATACATATATATATGTATATATATTCGTAGATTTTCATGGGTGTAGGTATGCTGGTCTTGTTGTATTCGGGTCTTTTCCCGTGTAAGATTGAGATTGTCTTGGCAATGTTTCAGCGAGGTCTCACTCACCATCTTCAGGCTGAGTAACCCTTACTCTGGAAAAAAATACTGTGGGGGTAAGACACCCCTTGGGGCATGGGTTCTGTTAAGATATAGCCTGGTGTGCCTTAAAATAGCTTCTGTACTGCATAAAATGGCTTCTACTGTACAGTGGAGTTGCCATGGTAACGTCTTCACAGTACTCCACAAGGGGGATCCCTCTGGTAAGGGGGAAAATCCAACATTAGAAATTACGTTTAGTCTGGACATTTCCCTCCTATAAATAAATACCTGGGCAATGTCGGGTTATTGGTTAGTTGCAGAATAAGATTACGTGTGCCAGCTAATAAACAGTGATATTTCTATTTACTGTGACACTGGGAGATCTGTATATAGATTCTTTCATGTGCTGCCTTATTGAAGCTGTTTTGTTAAGTATCAGTATTGCTTGTACTTCAGATTTCATGCTGTTTTAGCAAAATGTTTTTCTCTGGAGATGTTTGAATGTCACGACAAGGTGTGTTTCTGGTGAGAAATGGGACTTGTATAGAATCAATTGTAACACAGTTGAAATGCCCAGCAGATTTAAATCTATATATCTTGTATGGACAGGAGGTATTTAAAACTTTTTGTGGAATTTTACTGGTTCTGTTTAATGTGTTTCAGGAATTTATCTCATCTCCCTGGGGATACTGTGTATAGATTAGATCATGAGGAAGGAGCACTTGGCATAGAAGCTCCTTTAGCAAATCTTTCTAAATTAATGGAAAATTCTCCTGCCAGGTATTTTTCTCGTCTTTATTTCCATACAAGTAACACTCTTAGAAATATGTCCACAGTTGATTATTTCATCTTCCCTCTCTTCTCTTTAGTGAAAAGCTTCGTAGCTTAATAGTAGACTTCTACAAGCCACAATTTGTTCAATACTTGAGTTCTGTTCTTCCTCCAGAGGCAAAGGGCACGGTGGCAAACATTCTGAAAGGTACAGGGGACAAAAGATTATTACTTGTGATTTATTTATCATTTTTTAAAACTGCCCATCTCCCTCATAGAGGGAAAATAGTCCAGTTTTCAGAGCATTAAATTAATATCTTTCAGCTGCAAAGCCTTGTGACACAAATATATTAGAATCTGTATAGCTTCAGCAATAAGCTCATTTACACAATATAATTATTTTATTCAGTAATATTCATAAGCAGGCATATCTTAAAGAATGATCAATGCCACAATATTGAAAAGCTATTCACGGAGTTGGTAACAAAATTTGAAATTCCAAGTTCATCTGTTTGTGATTACAATTCTTATAAATACTATATGAAGGAGGGTAATTTTTTGTGCTGGATTTCTAAGTATATTTATTTCTAAGTATATACTATATTTCTAAGTATATACTATATTAGTATATAGAATTTTCTGGGCTGAAGAAGCACTTGGAATTTCTGCCAACTGTTCGACTGAATCCAAAATAAGGGAGTTTTGAATTCCCAAAAGTAAAACTTTATTGGCTATACCATTTTGGTACCGAAGAATCAAAACCAGCTCTGGTTTTCCTATGCAAATCCTTGCCTAGTTAAACAATGGTTTTTCTTTCTTCCCATCCCTGGGTAATCACATTGTCCAATTATGAGAAGCCTTTTTGTAATGGGAACAGTCCACCTACTTCTCAAGCACTTGCACTGGTGACTTGGATGGTTTCCAGGCTCTCATGATCCCCGCACAACTTCTCAGCACTCCATTTCACTTTTCCCTCTCCCCAGTTCATTGGCAAGTCAAATAGTGATAAGGTTTGAAAGAAGCAAAGCGGTTCAATCTTGACAATTTCTCCTAAAGAGCCAATTATTGCCTGGTTTAGGATGGATCACATTTCCATCTTTTTTTGCAAATATCAGGACTTAGATATAAAGTAACTACAAGTAAGACCACAGGTATTTCTCCAACTAGTACTCTCCGGCAAACACTTTTTTACTAGTGGAACATCCCATGTGTGTGAGTTTTTTTTTAAAAATGAGCATTTTATTGCTAATATAACTGCCAGAAAAATAAATAGGAGCAACGTTTAATTTACAAATTTGCCTTGGCATGGAACAAGTATTACTTCTACCACAAGGGAGTGATTACAAGACTATAATGTGTTGAAGACAGCAGTGAATTACCATATTTTCAGAGTATAAGAAATTTCTGTGCGTCTCATAATCTGAATATTGCAGTGGGGTGTGTATGTTGGTGTGGTGCTGTTCTAGACCGGCCTTGGCAGCGGAGAATGGGCCACGGCGGCAAAGGTGCTGCGTTGGTGAACAGGCCATGCCAAATGGGCCTCAGCAAACGGGCAGTGGCAGGGGCGAAAGGGGCAAACAGGGCAGATGAATACCGAATAGATGGTGGGAGGCAGAGGCAAATTTTTTCCCCTTGTTTTCCTCCCCAAAAGCTAGGTGTGTCTTATAGTCCGGAGCGTCTTATTGTCTGAAACATATGGTAGTTCCAGGTTCAGGTCTTGGCTAATAGAAAAAAAGACTGGGGGCTTGATTTGAGGTAAATAGCTTTCCCTGGTTCCCCCACAGACATGCCTGTTTTAGCAGAAACCTTTTGTCCACTTTGTTGGAGAATGCTATACAGCTAGTCCTCAACTTACAACCATTTGTTTAGTGACTGTTCAAATTTTCAGCACTAAAACCACTAATTTGCAACAATCACAGCATCCCCAGGATCACATGATCAAAAGTCTGGCACTGGGCAACCTTCATGTATTTACGATGGTCACAGTGTCCCAGGATTGCCACTTGTGATCTTCCCAGCTGGCTTCCATCTAACAAAGTCAATGGAGAAAGCTGGTTTCACTTAATGACTGCATGATTCACCTAACAGCAGTGATTGACTTAACAATCATGGCCAAAAAAAGGTTGTAAAATTGGGTGTGACTCACTTAACAACTGACATGCTTAGCAACAGAAATTCCAATCCCCATTATGATCGTAAGCTGAGGACTACCTGTAGTGTACTCATTGGAACTGAGTAAACATTATAGGATTAGATGGAAGTGTATTTCCTCGGTATAGGGAACAAAGACTAAATTGACTTAAAGATACCATTCTAGCATGGATATCCAAATACTGTATTTTTCGGACTATAAGATGCACTGGAGTATAAGACGCACCATGATTTTGAAGAGGTAATTTTGTAAAAAAAAGGTTTTGCACTCTGCAGGCCTCCCAAACCCACTTCATCCCTCGTTTTTTGCACACACAAAAAAGGCATGCAGAGCTTTGGGAGGCTTGCAGAGTTCTCCTGGGGCCTGGGAGGGGCCCAAAAATGAGCAAAAAATGGCCTGTTTTTTGCAAAAACGGTTTGTTTTTTGCAAAAAAAAGGACATGCAGAGACTTTGGGAGGCTTATAGCATGCTCCTGGGAGCTCCCCCCCCAAATGACCTGCTTTTTGCTCTTTTTTGCCCTCCCCAGCCCTGAGGAGCACTTTGCAAGCCTCCCAAACTTTCTGCATGCCCATTTTTCCAAAGGGGATGGGGTTTCAGTAGGCCAAAAATGCTGTATTCACTGTACACCCAGATTTTCACCCTCTCTTTTGAGGGAAAAAGGTGCGTCTTATACTCTGAAAAATACGGTACTTTCTCTCTTGGTGTTGTTTACAGAAAAAAAATAGAGTACAGTTTTAGTTAAATGGCAGGTTAATTATTTTTCTCTTTGTCTGGTAAATCCTAGGATTGAATAAACCCCAGAAACAAGCAATGAAACAAGTTCTCCTTTCAAAGGATTACACCCTTATTGTTGGCATGCCTGGAACGGGAAAGACTACGACGATTTGTGCTTTGGTAAGGTCTTGTAGAAGATCGGCAGTTCGGCTTTCAAATCCCTAGCACTACATTACGGAGTCTGTTCCTGTTACTTGTCCCAGCTTCTGCCAATTTAGCAGTTCGAAAGCACGTAAAAAATGCAAGTAGAAAAATAGGAACTACCTTTGGTGGGAAGGTAACAGTGCTCCGTGCACCTTCGGCATTTAGTCATGCCGGCCACATGACCACAGAGATGTCAACTCGATTCATAAAGTTACTTTTTCATCATTACTGTGCACAGTTGCTAAATGAAGCAATTGCTGAACAAGGATTACCAGTATTTAAATAACATTCTCCTATTTGCCATCTGCTTTGCATTTTAATCTGCCTACTGCACTTATACTGCTATTGACTATCAAAAGGTTGTTTGCCCCTGAACTTACATAGTACATAGACCCTTACATGCCAGAGACATGAGAATAGAGTTCCCTCATGCTTCCACTCAGATTTCCTAAAGTGTGGAGGAAATCTGTACTTCAAGGCTTGATATGGTCACTCATCCCCTAGACGCCTCTCATCTTGACTATTGCCATCCACTCTACATGGGGCTTCCCTTGAAATGCATCTGGAAACTTCAGTCGGTTCAAAATGCAACACCCTCCATGGGTTGGTACAGATCTCGATGTGCACATGTGTCACCTCTCTTCCGGGAGCTGCCTTGCCAATTTGCTTCCAGATACAAGTCAAAGTGCTTTCAAGCCCTTCTTGGCTTGGGACCAGGTTCTCTGAGGGACTGTCTCTTGCTAGTCACATCCACCCGACCCACTAGAGAGGAGAAGCAAAGAATATTGGGAGTTCCATCCTCTAAGGCGGTACATATGGCAGGAACCTAGAAGAAGGACCTTCTCCGTAGTGGCTCCCTCCTTCTGGAAATTAGACTGGCTCCCATTCTGACACTCTTTTGTAAGACCCTGAAGATGGGATGTCTCCGAAGCGAGACGTGGGAGGAGTCACAACTGGGTATTAACACGGCCCATTTGCCCGGAGACTAAGGTAGAATTTGAGGCCAATCCCTCTATTCCTCCTCCTGACTCTCCAGATTAACCTCAGTCTTCGGCCCAGAAGGACTACTTTTCTGACTCTCCATTTGGCTTCAGAGGTTTTATTGCTTTAAAGTTAGCCTTTTAGTTTTTTTCCACGTGATTCATCCCATCTCTCTCCCTTGCGTCTCTGTGCTGTTTACCTTTTTTTCCTTGCACAAGCCAGGCTTGCTGCACTAGAAAGGAGCCCCCAAGCCACTGGGCGGTTAAAGGGGAGGCTCTGGGCTGCGTGCTGGCGGGTGCTGTACCGCGTGACCCGGGGGGTTGCGGAACCCTTCGAAGGCTCCTGAAAGAGCGGCTCAGTCGGAGCCGGCTCGGCATCAGGCCATGTGGTTGGCAGTCACCATTTTGGACAGTGGCCAATGTGGAGGAGCTCGGAGATCGGCGTGCTTGATTTCGGCCACCGCAAGCGCCCAGAACCACCACCAGGGTCTGCAGAGGATTTCTTCAGGCCTGTGCTCCACCAGTGATCTGGGGAGGACCCCTTTGGTTCGGCGGTGGGCCGGTTTCTTCGAGCTGCGGATTGGCGGCATGGCTACAGATAGCGCCGGTCCAAAGGATTAGGGTGAGATTGGCCTGTATAGTTCTGTAGACTTTCTTCAAACATTTGCTGAACGTAAGAATTGATGTCTTCTGATCTGCTCTCATATTACTTGGGGTGGGATAGGAATCAGCACAGGGGAACTAAATAAATACAGGTTAAACTTGCTTTTTCCTTGGTTGTCTTTCCCATGTTTTAGGTTCGGATTCTTTATGCTTGTGGCTTCAGCGTTCTCTTAACTAGTTTTACCCATTCAGCAGTTGACAATATCCTACTTAAGTTAGTCAAGTTCAAAGTGGGATTTTTGAGGCTAGGAAGAGCTCAGAAGGTTCATCCAGACATAAAGAGGTTTACAGAAGAAGAGATCTGCAAATCAAAGTGTATTAAAACTGTGGCTCAGTTGGAGGAATTATACCAAAGTCAGGTAAAGAAAATGCCTTTTTCAGGAGACTAGTGTGCCTAAAAAGAATCTCTACTGGGAAGTTTATGTTGGTGATATTATGTTGTTTTAATTTCATAATAACTATGCCCTCATTAAGTGATCCTAGTAGGTTTTAATCAGATGAATAAGAAAGGTGCATTCATATTTACAACAAAGATATTGCATCTTGATTTTTTTTCTTTTTCATTTCTTATATATATATGTATGTATGTATGTATGTATGTATTTCTTATATACATACATACATATATATATTTCTTATATCTATTTCTTTTATATATATATATATATATATATATATATATATATGTATGTATGTATGTACGCAAGCGCGCGCGCGCACGCACACACACACACACACACACACACACACACACACATATATATATTTGTAAAAAGGGGCTTTTAGCCATAGCACCATTCTGCTACTGTGTAAAAAGAAACTAGATCTCAGTATCCATGGTGAAGAGTTTGATAAATTTGCAGTTTGGGGACTGCTTTTTTTTTTTTTTTTGCTTTATACATGTGCAAAAGAAGATGGATTTGCCCACTCATAAACTACATTCCTTCAAATTCTCAGGATCTGTAGTGTTGTAATCCACTGTTGCTGTGCTGGAAAGGAATCCCTGCAAATAACAAAAGCCACTTTGGGGCTCTATAATTGGGAATCTTTGCCACTAGAAGATGCAAATTTTAACATGAAACCTATTCACTTAGAGAAGATCTGCTTGTGAGATAATAAATATATATTCCTAAAAATTTAAGGGAATTAAACTTGCCCAAAGAATGCAGAGGTTGGCCAGCTTGTTATATATTCTAAGATAAAAAGGAATTCTCAGGTGTTATTACCAACAAATTTACAAAGATCTTACCATTTAAATTTCTGTAAAATAATCTGTGACTGATAAATGATTGCAGAAAAAGATTTACCTATCCACTTCACCTCTGATCAGCTTTACTTCCCTGCCACCAATTTCTTTAAATGTTGGAGGGAATATAGGTAGGTATATAGACAGCTGGAATAATGAGCTGAAGAAACTTCTTGGATGAAAAGTGAAACATCTTCAAAGAAAAAACAGAAAGTCCAGTTGCCTCTTGAAAAAAGCACCTTTGAGACAACTATGACCTGGATGACTAAGAATTTCCATAGATAGCTAGAATAATAAAATGTACTCAGCTCCATCTCAAATTCTGACAGCAGAGAGACATTAAGTTAAGAACTGCGTTTAATAACTTGTACAGGGAACACAATGTAGTATTGTTTGAATTTAAGTGCATGTCTGATTTACAGTTGAAAAGAGGTGCTGTCTTCATACTTTCTCATCTTTTTCCAGCCAGTCATTGCAACAACATGCATGGGAATAAACCATCCAATCTTCACTCGTAAACGTTTTGACTTCTGCATAGTGGACGAGGCTTCTCAGATTAGCCAGCCCATCTGCCTTGGCCCTCTTTTCTATTCACTTCGATTTGTGCTGGTGGGAGACCATCAGCAGTTGCCTCCACTTGTGCAAAACCCAGAAGCAAGGTAGGCAGCATGACATGCTGTGTTGTGGCCTGCCAGCGGAGCTGGTGGCAGACTCAGACAGAAGGTTGGGGAGGAACATGGGCCAGTCCTGGAGTCTGGGGAAGGCTGTGATGACTCCTCTGCATTGGAGAGATGGGGCCAGGGCCGCCTGACAGTTATCAGCTGCCTTCGGAGTCAAAGATCAGTGGGGCAGAAGAACAGCTGGAGCCTGTTCTCATTGTGCGCGTGTGCAGAGCTGCCAGGAGTAGGGAACAGCTAAGGAACAAGGGCTGATTCGGGAGTAAAGGCACAGGTGGACGGTGAATGGCCCCTCTCATAGGGAATAAAGAGGAGCGAAAGGGGAGGGGAGTTTGCAGGAGATAATTAATTCAATTCATTAGGTTGAAGATCTGTTCTTGCCAAGTAATTGCTGCTACAGTGTGGCATTTGGAAGATATTGGCCTGGCAGCTCTCCAAGCCTGATAAACGTCTGTTATTATGAATCTCATGAAAGACTGTTTGCTGGGACTTTGCTGGAGAAGAATTCCCTTTAACCTAAATAAAAGAGGTTTTATCCGGATGAGGAGTCTGCTACATGATCTTGGGACGCCTAGGTCAGAACTTGCTGTAGGATTTATACTTACTGTTAGCCATGCTATGTGCAAGTTACTGCCTGAATTTTTATTGCAGAGAACTTGGCATGAGTGAAAGTTTATTCAAAAGGCTGGAACAAAATAAGAATGCTGTTGTGCATCTAACTGTCCAGTACCGAATGAACAGGTATGTAAGCATGAAACATGTTGTTTCGCCACACCTCAAGACTAATAAAAATCTAACTTTCTTTTTTTTTTTTTTCATTTTAAATCCCTTCAGTAAAATTATGTCATTGAGCAACAAGCTGGTATATGATGGTAAACTGGAATGTGGCTCTGAAAAGGTGTCCAGAGCTGTCATTGACTTGCCTAACTTAAAAAAACTAAAACTGGAAGAGTCTTCTTATTCAGAAACGTGGCTAAAAGAAACACTTGATCCAAATAATCCCGTTTGTTTTCTTAACACTGAGAAGGTAACTTTTATTGGGCCTATCTCCTCATCCTCAAGGCAATTTGATGTTGGGTTTTGTTCTGTTTCTCAGGAAATTGAAGGTGCAGAATTAATATGAAGAGGTCTCTGACAGTTGGCTTTAACTTCCATTAGGAGAATAGTGGCAGGGACCATGTGTCAGATCAGCTTCGGGATTGACACCATGTGGTATTGCATCTTTGAGCAAGAATCAAGTGGCCTCTCTGTTTCATCCCATGCAAATCTCTCTCTTATCCCAACAGTCTTTATCAGTTGCTTTTGCTCTCTTCCTTCTATCCTCTATCTCCGTGATGGCAAATCTATGGCACGTGAGCCATTGTCCCAGCTCAATTCCACCGCACATGCGTGTGTACCCCGGGCAGCCAATTGACAGGGGGGTGCACCCCTCTGCGGCCCATTTTTGGTCCCAGGAGGGTGCAGGGAGGCCTGCTAGGTCCAAAATGGGGTGCAGGGGGGGGGCTGCATGCACATGGGGAGTGCGGGGGGGGGGTTCATACGTGTATGTGCAGGTGGGTAAGGAGTGTCATGTGTGTACTGCATTTCAGCACGCGACGACAAAAAGGTTAGCCATCACTGCTCTATCCTGTCTTTTTTCCCTTTTCCCTTTCCCTTACTATAGTAATTAAATATTGTTTATTTTCCTTTCCTCCCTGAAAATGGTTCAATTAAAAGCAATTTGCTTTAGAAAATGTCCAGATGTTCAGTTCCAATAAGACTGTCCCCTTCAGCTTAATTATATAATCTACCTGCAGCAGTTTTTAATATACCTCAATATAGTCTTCCTAAACTAACAAACAGCTTGAGATTTTCATTGCAGTGGATTCAGGTATATGATGTTGGTCTTTAATTCAGGTTGAAGCCCTAGAACAGACAGAAAAAGGCTGTATAAGTAACATGACTGAAGCCAGACTGGTGTTCTTCCTCACATCCATATTTTTAAAGGTAGTTCTCTTGTTTTTTAAAACTATAGAGATTTTATTTATGCATTTATATTGAGATACTTGCTAAATAAAGAGGTACACCAGCAATGTTCCCCGTATTAGTTCAGTCCTTCCAATAGCCTGGCCTCAATATGTTTTGGAGGTGTGATGAGATTGGTTATTCATGCCTGCAGGTTGGTTTTGTCCCTTGGAATTCATGACACTTGAAGACCAAGCTTCTAATTTCCTCTAATCACAAGTTGTTGAAAATTCATTTCATTTGCAGGAAAAAAGTGGCAATTTGTTTTCTGGGGTGTGGCAGAATGCAGTTTCCCTTCTTTGCCTGTGGGGAAGCAAATTCGTTTCCCTTCTTTCTTGCTATTAAAAATAGGAAGTTTGTAGGGATGCCAGGCAGCAGGATTTACAGTATTTTTTGCACTATAAGTCGCTCCGGACTATAAAACGCACATTAGCTTTAGAGGAGGAAAACAAGAAAAAAAATCTTCCTCTGCCTCCCAGCAGCCATCCAGTATTCATCTGCTTGCAATCCTTGAAGCAAACAGCAAATAGCTTGGTCAGCTTCAGTACGTTATTGCAACCCCTGCACGTGGCTCATCAGAGCTCTGCTCCGTTGCACCCACCACTGGTCAACTGAGCTGAGCTGCTGCCGCTGGTGGAGAACACTGGAGTCTTCACTGCCGAGCAGCTGATTGGTGTTTGGATCAGCCTCCCGGAATACCGCCAATCAGCTGAGGCTCACCGCCTGTTTGCCTCCACCTATCGCTGTTGCCCGTTCACTGGTGATAGATGGCAGCGAATAAGCAGCAGCAGCGATAGGCGGTGGTGGCAGTCCCCGCCGCCTAGAACAGCTGATCGGCGGTATTCCGGGAGGCAAATCCAATCACCAATCAGCTGCTTGGCAGCAAAAGCTCCAGTGTTCCACACCAAAAACCCCACCACAATATTCGCTCTATAAGATGCACAGACATTTCTACTCACTTTTTTTGGGGGGGGGGGAGTGTGCCTTATAGTGTGAAAAATACGGTATATGTAGATGTGGATAAAGTACCTGAAAGCCTCCTCCTTTTAGGAGCCTTCAGGTGGGAAAGGGGGCTTACCTCTGGTTTAGTGCATAATAGATCAATCTTGACAAGTATCCAGAATTAAAGCAGAAATCACTGTAGGGTGTAATTATAGTAACTGGGGATGTAATGTTCGCAAAGTGCAAAAACTTCCATTGCATTTTGCTCTTAATAGAAAGCACTGCACTGAGTTAAAAAATGATTTGGAAGAACAACTTCTGATTTTGCAAAACACAATAAGACAAGCTGGTGCTCTTCAAGAGTTGCATTTACTTCAATGATTCGATTCTTTAAAACAGCAGAAACTTAGTTTTTTTTCCAATTTGTGTGGGTCCAGTGTGGTTTAATGAATGGCAGGTAGATGATGTGTTCTTATCTGAGATACAAAACACAAATTATATGATATCCAAAGAACTTATATCGGTTCCTATATAATCCAGATCAGTTATCAACAAAAATACATTTCTGTGATGAATAAGCTAAAAAGTGTATGGGAGAAAAATATGCCAATAATTAATGTTATTAGGATGAGTGGGCATAGTTTTTGCAGCCAGAGGACACATTTGATTTCCTTAATTTATTTCAGTTGCAAGGAATAAGGGAGGATTGTCAAAGAAGGAAGTGGCTTCTTCTTGTGGACCTCAGATTGCTCCCCCTAGGCTTAAGAGAAGATAGAAGCAGAAGGTGGACTGAAGATACCTAAGAATAAAGTTGCATTAAAATCAAAAGTAATTAGTAGCTAACATCAGATTAAGGGGGCATTAGAGGAGGCGAAGGAGAAGTTCATTTAGCCTATTATATCATCAGTGGGTAGCACAAATTGGATATGATTCTTTTAAGACATTTCTATATGTTATTTTCTTAAATCTCCTAAAAGGATGAGTGTTGGAATGCATTGTGTCACGGCCATCTGGGATTCCATAATTTTAACACTGGGATTATTTTTTTTAGGCTGGTTGTAAACCTTCAGATATTGGAGTCATATCTCCATATAGACATCAATTGAAGATCATTACAGATTTGATGGCAGGCTCATACCTCGCTGATGTAGAAGTAAATACTGTGGACAGATACCAGGGGAGAGACAAGAGTGTAATTATAGTATCCTTTGTAAGAAACAATGTGGATGGAAATGTGAGTAAACACTATAGAATCATATATCTGTTCATAGTTCCAAGTATTTTAGGTTTGTTGTCCAACATTTAATTTATGTATGGTGCAGTCCTTTAAAAGGTTTATGTGCTAGCAGGTAAGATAAACAGCAAAGATGTACTAGCAATTAGTATAGATTATTTGTTTGTTTTTTCTTTCTGCAAGAAATCTAATATGGATCTTAGAATGAGTGACTGGTTTTCATTTTGGATATTTACTCGTAGCTAAGATTCCCAAGTTTCCTCTCTTTGTTTGAAGAGTCCATATGTATATAAGGCTGTTTTGCATGCTAGCAAAATACACTGTGTATAACACTGGGGGGGAAGTAGGTGTAGCCCCAGTAGTCCTATTTTTGGATTAGTAATCTGTGTTATAAGTGGCCAAACCAAAAATTCAGCATGCCACTTTCTTCTGCAGTGGTGCTCAAACCTAGAAATAAAAGAGATATAAATAATAGTTTGATATAAAACTAATCAGAATAGGCACAATAAGGCAGGTCAAAAAATAAATTACAGAGTTACGGAAGAAAAACAAAAGCAAACTGGAAAATGTTTTGTAGCTAATTATGTACTCTCCTTATGCACACATGTATATGATAAAATGATTAATACAATCATTTAAAACACCCATTCTTGGTATTTTTACCCAGAATAACGTTTGTACAAATAACAATAATTAATGGAAACATTATAGAAAGTGACCAGATTTGAATATATTTATTTTGAATGAAAATGATTTGCAAAATATTTTCTAACAATTTTTCAACAACTGCCCGCATTTTTAAACAAGTGATCCAATTAAAATTGTTTGATTTTCCTGATTTATTTATAAACTTTAACCCACAAAGCTTATCATTTTTAGTATCAAAAGTTGGCAATATGTTAAAAAAAAATGCTTGCCTTTGATCAGGTTTATAAAGATAGCAATTTGTAATGTTGTATTAAGAGTAGAGTGCCATTTGTGCTTAAGACAAGAGCTTTACATTATATGAAAGAAATCATACCGACTTTAAATAAAGCAGAGGGTCACCATTCTTCTGGGGTTAGTTAATCGTTATCATTGATGAGATATATGTAACCAGTGGAATGATTATTATTTGAAAGTAATGGAGAACTTGTGAGCATTCTTTGTGCTTCCCTTTTTAAAAAAAAAAATAGGTTGGAGAACTTCTGAAGGATTGGAGACGTCTTAATGTTGCCATTACAAGAGCCAAACATAAGTTAGTTATGCTGGGCTGTGTACCATCCCTTTGTCTCTATCCTCCTCTAAAGAAATTACTTCATCATCTGAAGAATGAAGCTATGATATCCTTTCTTTTTCATTTAGTTATATTGTCTTTTTTGTCAGCCTGCTTAAATGAAGACTTTTCAGGCCTCCTAATTGAAGATGAAAAAATGCAAAATCAACTGTTAAATCTAGTCTGAAAGGACAAGATTGCTTCTTTATCACTTTCATTTAAAGAAAATGAAACCAGATTTTGGAATCTTTTCTCAGAACATTTGAAGTGAATTGTGTTCTGATTAGGCAAAATTAAAAAAATATTTAGCTAAAAGGAACTATAGGGCTCAGCTTTTGGAAAGTAATGGGAATTTTATCCCTTGATCCCTTATTTTTTGGTCTCAAAAGTATCATAGATAAAGTGATTGTCTGTTTTGAATATTGTCTGTTATCTCCCTACACAAACACTAGCTAAAAAGATATTTTTTTTTTAATCAACTCTCTGGAGCTGCTGGTGCTTTGGGAGCTGAGAGAAAGGCTAAACTATTAATCTAGCTAGCATGAATAATTTGATCTTAAAAAAAGACAAAATTCTCTACCAAATCAATGACCAAATGTATGCAATAATATGCTATCCCATCACCTGCCCTAGAGCACACTATTCTTAGGACACTGCTGCAGTTGGTGAGCAAATGGGAAATTATTACTGTAGTATTATAGCTGACCAAGCCATCTACCTACTGTATATTTTGAAGTATAACACGCACCTTTCCCCCCAAAAATGAGGTGAAAATCTGGGTGCGTCTTATACACTGAATACAGCATTTTTGGCCTCCTGAAACCCCGCCCCCTTCACAAAAATGGACGTGCAGAGGGTTTGAGAGGCCTGCAGAGTGCTCCTGGGGGCTGGAAAGGGGGAAAACGAGCGAAAAATGGGCTGTTTTTTGCTCATTTTTGCTCTCCTCCCAGCCCTCAGGAGAACTCTACAAGCCTCCTAAAAACTATGCATGCCCTTTTTTTAGTCCCACCCACCCCCGGGAGCACTTTGCAGGCCTCTCAAACTCTCTGCATGCCCCGATTTTCACGAAAAATGAGGCGTGCAGAGGGTTTGGGAGGTCTGCAGAGTGCAAAAACTTTTAAAAAAAATTTACCTCTTCAAAATCTTGGTGAGTCTTATATTCCAGTGCGTCTTGTACTCCAAAAAATACGGTAGTACAGAAATAGTTTGCTTTCCTTTTGCTTACAAGGATAGTGCAAAATGCCTATGGAAGGAACCAAAAATGCCCCATTAACTAGACAGCTTCCAATATTACTTAGGTAAGAGATGGGATGAAAGATTGGACAGTTGGCAGGCTTACCAATGATGGAAGCTTATCTCTTAGATGCAGCACCAATTTTGACTGTCACAATTCTATGCTTAATTAACCTCACCTTCTCCCTCTCCTCCCATCAACTACCTCCAGGGAATGGCAGTTGGGGCAAAAACTGCTTGCTGCTTCTAATACCACTTCTTTGCTTTCATGGCTTGAAGGAAGAATTAACCGGATTGAGGAAACTCCATTTGGAAGCGGAGCACTCCTCACTCATGCGTAAGACAAGACTTTGATAAGGGAAGATTGTATTTGCATTGGAATCCATCTTTCCATCTAGGGAGGCAATTTTAGCATGGTCTGCTCATTCTTCCGGAGGCTTAAGTTCACTGTTAAATCAGAGACCCCAATTTTTTAAGACACCAGGAACCGGTTCCTGGAGGTTGGGGACCCCTGTGTTAAATGTTATAGAAACTGGATTTAGATAGAATTGGAATCCTTAGTAGAGACGGAAACACTGGAACTGCTGATAACAGGAGTAAATATGGGGTTTATAATTATCTGAAAAATATGCAGGTCAGGGCATTCTTACATGGGACTAAGTTTCTTAAACATATTGGCAGCAATAGATTGCGTTCCTTATGTGTCTTTTTTAAAGTTAATGACACATTTTAAACTCAATAGGAATTCAACAGTTCTGAGAAGATGCTTCCTCTTTAGCTCCATGTTCTGCTTCATTTTATAGGTAGTCCTCACTTACTGACCGCAGTTGAGACTGGCACCTCTCTTGCTAAGTGACATAGTTGTAAATTGAAAAAGGTGGCTGCCTCTGACTTATGATTGCAGTGTATCACCCACTGCTCTTAAGTGTGACATCCTGTAGCTGTGACTTGCAATTTCCTGCTTCCCTATTGATTTTGCTTCTTAGAAGCCAGTTGTGAAGGTTTCAAATAATGATGGGTTGCTGTGACTGTCATAAACGCACACCAGTTTCCAAGCGCCTGAATCACAGTTACCATAACTTTGAATGATCACTGAAGGAATGGTCAGTGTGGATTGCCTGTATATGTAATTATTCAAAATATGGGATGGTCAGATACCTAAATATTACATAGAGTAAACATTAAAACCTGACCCAATTTTCCTAGTACTTGAACTAAAACCATGTTTTCCTTAATGTTTCTTACATTTTCAATATTCCTTTAGGAGCATATGAACATGTTTTACATTGTAAACTCTTATGATAAACAAACACTGAGGAGAATCTTCACTAATATGAAGCAGATATACTGAATTCTGCCAGAAGGTGCTAAACTGGATTGTTCCAGCTTGTTGTTTTACATACTAATAATGCCTTAAATAACTATTTGGACATTTTAAAAATAGAGCTTAAAAGTATTATCTTGGTATATCTATTTGTATTTTTCCCATTTTGAGAAATAGTATCTATCTAATTGAGTATTTTGAATTCTTTTGATCAATATTTTGTCCTTACAAGTGAGTAGCTTTAGCTGTCTATACAAAAATCTTGAAAGTATACAAATTCTACATCTTACTTTAGTTAAGCATGACCCAAAAGCTCTACTGTTAAAATTGGTTTGATTGTGGTATGTCTTCTTCTATGCCAGAACTATTCAAGAAACCTAGATATTGTTGTTTGAAAGCCTGATCACCACTTAACTATGATTCCCTCCCCCTCCTATTTATTTGGCACTGCAATGATGCAATTTTAGTAAGGATGTTTGAAATGCTATTTTCTAATGCTAACATAATTTTTGGGGGAAACTGTGCACCTTGAGCTCATTACACGCTCTAATGCCATTTACTGAAGCTGTATGAATTCAATTTTATGTCCATGGAAATATACCCTACACTAAAGCTACCTACCTCTTGGATGATGATGTTTTACTTTCCTTTGGATTTGATTGTTGTATCAAGCTCCAAACTGCACTAAAATCAAATTCTTTTCTATGTATATTTTTGTAATATTTTTAAACTCATGTATTCAACATTTTAAAATGCTCATCTGTTTTTGTAATGCCTGTAATAAAATTAATGTGAAATAAACATAAATTTGCATTATTGGTATATCTTACATTATAAATCTCATCTATCATTAAACTATAGCAGCCTTTCAAACATAGTTGAAAACAGCCACTCCTAATGAATGAAAACATACAATCTTTTTTGTAGCTAGATGATTATTATTTTTTGCCTCTCCTCTGAAATGGTTGAAGAAATGATCGATACAGATAAATACAAGTTGTTGGGCTAGCAAGTTATTTGGTGGGTGATTTCTAAACCCCTTTTTAATAAATATATCTAGATTGCATTCTCTCTTTGATATCCTTCCAGGGACAGCATCCTAGTTGTGAGGGGAGGCTGAATATCAAAAGTGACAGGGCCACTGCAGGCAGTGATTCATGCCTTGATCACCTCATGGCTTGATTACTACAATGTGGAGCTGCCCAACTACCCAGACGGTTCAGCTGGTAGAATTTAGCAATGATGGGCATGAACTACACTGGTTGCTACCGTAGTTTGCTTCCAGGTATGATTCAAGATCCTGGTCACTACCTAAAAAGCCCTTCCATAGGATTTGAGGGATCACCTGTCTCCCATAGTGTCTGCCCAACTGGCTTGATCTCGCATGGTTAGCACCCTACAATTTTATATCAGCACCCTGGAAGGAACGCTTTACTTTAGCAATAGCTGCTCCTCTAGGGTGAGGTTATGTGAGATTCAAATGCCCACCACCCTGCTGAGATTTCCAGGCTTTTTATGAGGACGACCTTCCTTTTCTTTGTTCCCATCATAGTTTGGTTTCTCTGCCATCTTTGTATTTCATTTAATGACTTTATTATTACTTCAGTCTATATATAAATGTACCATGTTTTGACCCCCAAAATAAGCACTTGACCTTATTTTTAGGGAGGTCTTATTATTTTTGAGGTGCAGGAGGCGGTGAGCGTGGTCACCTCATGGCTGTTGCTATGTTTTAATATTTTCAGGGAGGGCTTACTTTTGTGCATACACTGAAAACCCCAATTGGGCTTATTATCCAGAGATAATATTATTTTCAGGGAAGAGGTATATTTTCCCTTTTAAACCCATCTGCTCAATCTAAGATGTCCCCCTCATCCCAGCACACTAAAACTGAAGATTTTTATTAGAAACAGAAACTAGCACAGGCTACTACTGGCTGTTCTTTGTAGGCAGGGATCATACAGAGATTCTGACAGGTATTGTGGGGGTCTTGTTTGCATTGAAGAAAAGCACCAATAGAACATTAATGTACCTACATCAGAGGTGGGTTCCTACCAGTTCGCACCTATTCGGTAGAACCGGTTCATCAAATCTACCGAACCGGTTAGAAGAGGTTCCACCAATGGACCCGGGAAGCAGGCCACACCTACAGAAGAGGTTCCAAAATTTTTTGAAACCCACCACTCATAAACACACAGAGAGAGAGACTCACACAGAAAGAGAAAAAGAAAGAAAGGAAGAAAAAAAGAAAGAAAAAGTGAGAGAGATGAAAGAAAAAAGGAAAAAGGGAGAGAGAGACAAAAGGAAGGAGAGAGAGAAAGAAAGAAAGAAAGAAAGAAAGAAAGAAAGAAAG